CAACCTGCTGTTCCTTTGGTTGCTGCTCCAGAACTGACAAAAACGATGCGTCCACCCCTGGAACTCTTCCTCAAAAACGGAAGTACTTCCCTAATTGCGGTGATGAGCGTAAAGAAGTTGACTTCAAAATGAGCCCTCCACTGGGAAAGAGGGGTGTCGTCGCCGATCCGTGTCATTGGGTCCAGGGTGCCTGCATTGAGGATAAGGCCGTCCAGGCCATGGTGACGGTGAGCAGCATGAATGATAACCTCGGAAAATCTCTTTTCATCTGTGCTAAGATGTACACCTCAGTGGGTTGCGCTGGAGCATGCGTTGGAAGACGAACACGTCGCATTCAATGATCTCGAGATTGTTTGGGGCTGAACGATCAAGCTGGACGAGCTCTGGAGTGCGGGAACGAGAAATGGCGATTACATGGGCGCCAAATTCACGGATAAGATGCTTTGTGACAGCCAACCCGATTCCCCTGCGTGTATTGGTCAATATCTGGATAAGCTGGGGATTGAAATGCTGAACTTGGAGGCGCCAGTGACGATAACGACCGGTTTGTGCATCGTGATGGCGGCGTATCCGAAAGAGTTTTGGGCGGACCGGAGTCGCAAATGGGAAGCTGAGTTTGAAAAGTTCGCAACCCCAAGCAATCGAGTTTGGCAGTTACACGGTGCCCTAATCTCCTTCCTCATCTCCCCCTCCACCATGGTCTCCTCCCTGGCCCTTTCCCGGTTCGCTCCCGTTCTCGCACGGGCCAGACGGCCAACTCCCAAGCTCCAAAGGCATGCTTTTGTCGCCCTTCGTCGATATGCCACGGAAACAGAACAGCACACGGTATGCTCGTCGCGTCATACCCAGTTTGCATCCGAGACTGACGCGGCAGCACAGATGACCGTCCGAGAGGCCCTCAACCTCGCCATGGAGGAAGAGATGACTCGTGACGAAAGCGTTTTCATCCTCGGTGAAGAAGTTGCTCGTTACAACGGTGCTTACAAGGTGCGCTTCGTCCACGTCAAAGTCTAAGGCATTGGCTTACTCGTTCCGTATTGTTACAAGGTGACCAAGGGGCTCATGGACAAGTTTGGTGAGAAGCGAGTGGTAGACACGCCTATTACCGAGATGGGTTTTGCTGGCATTGCTGTCGGAGCAGCGCTTCAGGGTCTCCGCCCAATGTAAGCCCACTTCAGCCTCTCCGCTCGAAATTTATTTAACCTTTTCCCCCCTAGTTGCGAATTCATGACTTTCAATTTCGCCATGCAAGCCATTGACCAGATCGTCAACTCAGCGGGCAAGACGTACTACATGTCCGGTGGCAATGTACCATGTCCCGTTGTATTCCGAGGACCTAACGGCGCTGCTGCTGGCGTTGGCGCCCAACATTCCCAAGACTATGCCGCTTGGTATGGATCTATTCCGGGATTGAAGGTCGTTAGCCCTTGGAGCGCCGAAGATTGCAAGGGTTTGCTTAAGGTACGCTACTTAAACTCTGCTTCTGTATGACAAGGATGTGATGCCTCCCTAGTCTGCAATCAGAGATCCCAATCCGGTCGTATTCCTGGAAAACGAAATGCTTTATGGCGTCTCTTTCCCAATGTCACAAGAAGCTATGTCTTCCGACTTTTTGCTCCCAATTGGCAAGGCCAAAGTAGAGCGGGAAGGAAGCGACATCACGCTCGTTGCCCACAGCAAGATGGTCACCCATAGTTTAGAAGCTGCAGACATCTTGGCCAAGGAAGGAATCAAGGCCGAAGTTATCAACCTTCGCAGCATTCGACCGCTCGATATCGAGACTATTATCAAGTCGGTCAAAAAGACAAACCGTCTCGTTACTGTCGAAGGCGGCTTCCCACAATTCGGCGTTGGAAGTGAGATCTGTGCGCAGATCGTCGAGAGCGAGGCTTTCGATTATCTCGACGCCCCCGTCGAGCGAGTTACTGGAGCTGATGTCCCCACTCCTGTGAGTTCATTGATACAACCAATTGTTTTGTTTTGTTTTGTTTCTCATATCAGTTGATAGTATGCCACGAACCTCGAAAACCTCGCATTCCCTGACACCCCCCTGATCGTCAAGGTCGCAAAACGTGCTCTCTACCGCACCAACTGATCTTAGTCAGATGTTATCGACCATCGCTGGTAAATCATAGACGCTACCTACTCACATTCTTAGATACTATAATTCTATGCATATACCATCGCTGAATTGGCTTATTTTTTCTTCGCCTGGATAATCTAGCTACTCATGGTTGAAAGCCGAATGCGTACGGCATTTGCGTGCGCTTGGAGCCCTTCACAATCTGCAAGCGTCACCACATAAGGTCCCAAGCCTCCAAGACCCTCTTCGGTGATCTCTTGCGATGTAATGTGCTTCTGGAAAGACAGCGTGTTGACACCGCTAAACTGTCGAGCATACCCATTGGTTGGAAGAGTGTGGTTGGTTCCTGATGCGTAATCGCCGCAGCTAACGTACCGACATCAGCAGAATATCTACAAAGTAGCAGAACTTCATATACCTTTCGGGTGTGTATGGACCAACGAAGATGCTTCCAGCATTATCGATCTGGGATACCTTTTCGCTCGCGTTCTCGAGGTGAAGGATCAAGTGCTCAGGTGCATAGTCGTTGGAGAAAGCAATCCCCTCATCGACGGTAGCAACCTTGACGATGTTGCTCTTGGAGATGGACACCCGGACAATATCCACCCGCTCCAAGAGAAGTGCCTGTTTGTTCACTTCCGCTTCGATTTCTGATAGGTGTTCTTCTGTCAGGTCAACTGCAACGAGAACGACCTGAGAATCAACTCCGTGCTCGGCCTGCGACAGTAGATCGGAGGCGACGAAGGCTGGGTTGGATGTCTTGTCTGCGATAACCTGAGATTTCGATTAGTGAGAAACCGATAGAGGCATAACTGATACCTACTAAAACTTCGGAAGGACCAGCCGGCATGTCGATCGATACAAGGGCATCTGTATCGTTCTGCACAAGCATCTTCGCGGCAGTAACCCATTGGTTTCCAGGACCAAAGATTTTGTCGACCTTTGGCACGGTCTCGGTACCGTACGCCAACGCAGCCACAGCTTGAGCACCACCAGCCTTCAAGATTGCAGTTGCTCCAACGAGCTTGGCGACATACATCACCTCTGGGGAGATGGATCCATCGGATCTAGGTGGTGTTGCGAAAACGATCTCTTTGCATCCAGCAACCTGGGCCGGAATGCCAAGCATCAGAGCTGTGGATGGCAAGATGGCTGTGCCGCCAGGAATGTACAATCCAACACGTGTAATAGGACGAGCAAATCGCGAGCATTTCACGCCAGGCATTGTCTCGACCGTGAGGACCGAGTTGCTTGTCTGTGCCTTGTGGAACTTCCAGATGTTGGAGTACGCGACATTGATGGCGTCGCGCACTTTACTGTCCATGACCATGGTTTCTGGGGCGAATGGAGGGAAGATTACGGTATAGTCGATCTTGACGCGATCAAACTTGGCGGTGAAGTCAAGAAGAGCCTGGTCGCCCCTGTCGCGAACCTCGTTGACAATGGGCTTGACATTATCGATCATTTGGTTGGAGTTCAAGACAGGCCGCCGGAGAAGCAGAGAATATTGTTCGGGGGATGATGTAGCAAGGTCGTATGTGCTCATGCTGATGATGCCCGATGTTGGGGGTGCTGGGTTGCTGGGGGCAGGCGCTGCGGTGGTCTTTTCTTTGGTGACGAACTGTGGCTTCGCATTTCCGGGCCGTCTCGTTATACGTTTGGACTTGAGCTCGAGTGACTTTTCGATGTCGGCAATGGTCACGCCTGCCGCGGTGCACTTGGTCAATGCGAAGTAGAGAAGATCTGCTGCCTCGAATGCAACTTCCTCCCTGGTTTCTGCCGTGCAAAGTTCGTCCGCCTCTTCCATGATCTTAGAACGCAACAACGCTGGATCGTTGAAAAGACGGTGGGTGTACGACCCCTCGGGTGCGTTTTGAAGTCGTGACGACAATACGTTCTCAAGAGCAGGCAATCCGCTTGCCTCTCCGAAGCACGATTGTCGGTTGAGGTGGCAGAATCCAGCACCGTGCTGCACCACACGGAATTCGAGGCTGTCGCAGTCGCAGTCGAGTCGGATGCTAACGACGTCTTGCGTCGCTCCTGAGGTTTCTCCCTTCCTCCAAAGTCCGTGCTTCCGTGATTGATATACCCCTTTCCCGGAGACAATGCTTTCGTTGACTGATTCGCGAGAGGAGTAAACGAGGCCCAGAGAATGGCCAGTCTCCGTCGAAACGATGGTTGGGAATAGACCATCCTTTCTGTCGGAGACGACGGAAGCGAGGTATACGTCGGTAACGTTGAGATGGGTGTCCGATGAGGGGCCTAGGGTTAGCTGGTCTTCTGGCAAGACCAGGTTGGCTCCGATGCCCTGCAGCTGGCGCACCGTGGACAATGCGGGGAGGGCTGATGAAGTCGAAAGCACGTATATCGGAGAACCTGCGAAGAATTGCGAAATTGAAGTCACGAAATCGAGGTCAAGCGAAGCGGTTTTGAGTAGCACTCCTGACACTCCGTTCCGAATGGAGTCAGATACAGCACTGACATTCGCCCCATCTAGCAGGACGACCAGACGTTCTGCTGGGATTACTCCTATGGCCTCCTTTGCCCATGAGAGAGGGAGGATGAGCTTTTCGATGCCTTCATTCAGCAGTTGAACGAGATGGTCGAGATCAACTGGATTAGTGGTTGATTGGAAGATGAGGTATGGATGATCTGCAGAAGTTGGTGCTAGCGCTGGTGCCGACTTTTCGCTGGATATGATAACAGGACCGATGCGGTTGAGGGCATCGAGGAGACCCTGAGATTCTCCGGTAACGAGGGGTAGGAATGGGAATGACATCGCAAAAGCAAGCAGGAAGGTGAGAAATTTTGCACAATACGGATAATATTATCTGCACGGGGAAGATGAAATGACTCGTCGGAATTAGCAAAATCTATCTACCCCGTCGCGTGCAATCTCTCCCTCATCATATCCATCGGCTTTGTAGTGTAGAGGTTATCACTCAAGATTCTGATTCTTGAAACCCAGGTTCGAGTCCTGGCAAGGCCTTTCCTTTTGCGTTCTTTTCCGAAGCGGCCTCCTCACAGATGACGTAGAGAATGCCTCGATGACATCATGCGAATTTCCAACGAGTACTTGAACGGCGAGCGCAAATCCTGGATTGGTTACACGCCCTCCATTCATTTGTTAGAAATGGCTGGAATCTATATCCCCAACATTCTTCTCGCTATTCCCAGAAACCCAGTCACGGCGGTTGGACTTCCACTTGTGGTGGGGTTTTTATCCGGGTCACCTCCCGCCTCCAAAGTTGCGAACAGTCATTGGTACCATGTATGTTCAGCCATTACCCGCCGTTTTGCAGTGTATCCTAAATTAAACAGGATCTCAATGCACCTCCTGGTAAACCACCTCGCGAAATCTTTCCATACGTCTGGACTCTGCTGTATCTCTGTAAGTATATACCGCCCAGGCCTATCGCTTGCTCTCATGACGTTTATAGCGATGGGATATGCCTCCCATGTCGCAGTGAAGGCCTTCGACGAAGCTGCTCTGCTCCCACACACTCGGTACGATCCCGTCTCCAACTTTGCTAGCATCTGTACGTGAAAGGCTCATTGTCGCGACCCAGCGACGACTTGAATCTTGGCATAGCACTTTACTATGCCCAGCTCGGGTTGAACTGTGTGTGGAGTCCCATTTTCTTTGGAACACGCAATGTAAGTGGCCCGGTTGATGCATGATGGTCAAACTTGCTCACAAGGATGACAGACTGGACTCGCTTTAGTCGACAGTGTCCTTTTGACGGCCACAACTTGTTACATGACGGTGAGCAAGAGCATTGCGTCATTAGCCAAAATGGCCTCTGATCATTCATTGTCCAGAAATTGCTGGATCGCCCAACGAGCGGAAAGGCTACCTACTTCTTGTTGCCATACTGTGGCTGGCTCGCATATGCCACCTACCTTAACGGTGGAGTCTGGTGGTTCAACGGACCAGGCCGCAAGTATCACAAGAGGGACGATCCGAAGATGTAAGGAGTTACAGTTAGCAACGAATATAATTACATTCCATCACTCGAGTACATCATGTATGAGCCTACCATCGGACAATCGACATAGCACAACGCAGACAATGCATTGATTATCCCAGATTTTGTGCATGCGATGACGGACCTTGAGGAAAATCCAATGACACTTCGTCAAAGGTGTGGTCGTCATCTAACGCTGCTCCGAACTCCTCCAAAGAGAATACAGCCTTTGGAGTTGTCTCGTGGCTTCTGCCTGAAGGAGCCTGCGCATCATGATTGACGACGGGGGTTGATGGAGAAGGCGTCTGGCTCTGATTCTGGTCCCGTTGCAGTGTTCTTTTTCCGTAGGGAAAGAATCGTGGAGCAGGATAACTCCGCCCGTTTCCCCCATTCTTCAGAGTTTGGCCGGAATTCGCAATACAGCGCGTACCCCTGTTTGTTCAGGTCTTCTGGACTGTAGCTCTCTGCTAAAAGTTTCAAAGCACCCATTACAGCGGAAGTGGTTTGTCGGAACGAGCGCGAAATATAGCTGAACGCTGTAATAGGTGGAACAGGAGAGTTTTTGGAGAGAGCCCGCCACTGTTCATGTTGAGTTCGATACAACGGTCTAGAAAGCCATGGGTCAAAAGTTGGAACATCGGGTTAATGCAGTCTTACATCCTGTGGGAGAGATTGAAACGACCCTTTACAATTTGAGGAACGTAAAAGGTACGAACCGTCGTCCCATTAGCTCGACGTATGGTTGAGGACCATCTTTCGAGACAGCCATGCTACGATCCTGGCTCTTGTCGTATTTACCGATGGCCGCGCCTCTGGAAATGGCATTCATCTCGGTATAGACCGATGCTCGTCGTCGTTCAGTCGACAGTTCAAAGGTAGGCAGCTGGGTAGTCTCACCTATGCTCAATGCTTCCTCTCGTTTGAAATTGAGGTGCTCCGCGACAACTGCTGCCCAGGCAGTCATAACAGGCGCCCTGTTTATGACAACATGCTTTGAAGACAACACCTAGAGATACGTCTAAATAGGGATAACAAGACACTAACGCATACATACCTTCTCGTCGAGTATCTCGTTGAATTCAAGATTCCCAACAGCCGCGCCTTCGACTTCGTCCGAGGGACCTTCTGGGAGGAATTCGTTCTTAACGCGGGTTCGTTTTCGTCTGGGCGGGGTAATCTATGCGAACTGAGAATTCGGCTGCAGCTCGACCGGGCAACCGAGGCTTACGATCCTTTCTACTGCACCTATCGATGGCGCGTTTCCCGACTGTGTTGGTGTGCTCGAGGATGACGGTGCCCGAGGGTCGGCCACACTATCCTCCCGGACCCTCTTCAAAGAGACCTTCTTGGGTGTGAAACCGGCCTTTCGAAAGGCAGACAAGACCAGCTTTCGGTCTCCAGCATCTTTCACACCCAACGTATTCAGGGTCAAGTTACTTAGAGATCGGAGGTCCGCTGGAGTGGAGTGCGTTTTGTAGCTATACTGCGGTGTTAAGCAAGGAACTCGGAATGTACCAGTGTCACGCACATCTGGCCTGAAATTGCTATAGCTTTGGAAACTGGGACACCGTTATTTGTCAGGTGCTTGAGAAAGTGTTGCAAAGGTATTTTGGTGGTTTCTGGGTCGAGGGATGACATTGGAAGGAGGCAAAGCTCTGAGATTGTGTTGGGAAGGTGCCATCAGATCGACCTTGCCGAGTGTGCGGCACGCATTATTGACTTGACACGACCTGCGTTCAATTTGGAACTCACAACACTCGCAACATCACAAATAAATGCCACCTCGAAAACCGCAGCCACGACAAGAGTCACCAGTCGATCACGACAGTGGTGAAGACGAGGTGTACGACGACGACGAGTTGGACGAGCTTTCCGAAGAGGAGGACGACCCTTTCGTCTTCAAGATCAAAGGCGCCGTCGCACCAGCCAATGCTCGAAATGTCTCTATGCAAGAACTTAATGGTCAGCTTTGGTGACGACTGTGCGGCTCCCTGGTGTTTAACCCGATTTGCAGAACTTATACACAACGGGGTCATCGACCTGAATCCTCCATACCAACGAGGTGAGCGACCTTTTGCAGCGAGGACCGTGAACGATGCTCATACGTTTGGGTATACAGAGGCTGTTTGGCCACAAGCAAAGCAGTCCAAGTTAATCGACTCTATATTCAGGAACTATTTCATTCCACCCCTCGTTTTCGCTGTGAGGCGCGACCAAGATCTAGGGGAAGATGTGATGATATGTGTTGACGGGAAGCAGGTGCGGTTTTCCCATATCTCGAGCCCTTTCTGCTTGCAAAGCCACTCACATTGCCGAATCTCGTTCCGCAGCGATTAACCTCGATAGTAAAGTTTATGGATGGATCTGTGAGTTCGTGCCACCCTTTCAACAACTCAAGCTCACGAGGAAACCCAGATACCACGTTAGTTCGCGATTTCCACTGGATGTCTCCCTTTTTTCACGCATACGGCAACAGATAAAAACCCAGTTACCAAAAGACTTTGGTGGTATACCTCACCCAACACTTCTGGATCTAAATCACGTTTACAAATCCCCGATGAGTTCAAGGAAGAATTTGGACGGCGGACGCTTACATGTGGTGAGTGAACTCTCGTGCTCGAGAAGGGACCTGAACCTTATGAACCCAGTTGAGTACCGGGGCTTGAGCCAGGATAGCGAACGACAGATCTTCCAACGCGTTCAGATGGGTGTTGCACTTCAACCGGGAGGTACTTTTGTTTCACTGCTTCTGTTTGAAATCCACCAGTGCTGATGATACACGACAGAGAAACTGCAAGCGATATCGTCCCCTCGTGCAGAGTAGGTCAAAGTGTCTGTGGAAGTCATCAAAATCTCTAAATCCCGTTCCTTTAGGTGGATAGGGCGCATGAGCAAGAAACACATCAACCTTGGAACCAAAGACGGCCTAGATACCGTACTGAAATTCGACACTAAACGTGCACGGGACTTTCAAAATATCGCGTCTTTGGCCTACTGTTGCGATGGCCTTCCAAACGAGCAACGGATACCGACCGCGGTGGTCATCGACACGTGGCTCACATCTGAGGACACTCCTAGGAAAACGTTCAAGGAGGCTGTCGATACTGTGTTGGACGACCTTTACTACCTTGCTACCGAGCCCAAATTCAATAAAGACATACTGCAGCTGCAAAAGTCCAAGCGGATTGCACCGGTCGAGTTCATATTCATCGGTGTGTACTTTTGTGTGATTTTTTGACCTTTCGAATATTTACCGCCTATCCAGGTGTTCTGCTGTATCGTCTGCAACGTAAGTCGTGGTCCTCCAAGGCAAAGGCAATCTATACACTTTGCAAGACGATTCGACAAGAGTATCGCGACGTACGGACAAACACAGTTGTGTGCAAAAGTCTGTGGGGCCATGTCGACACCCTCACAGAGGATCCTACCGATGACATCGTCTTGAAGTCGAAACCGAAGCCCTCGACGAAGAAACCCGCCAAAAGCAATAAGAAACGGAAACTGGGAAGTGACGAGGAGGAGGATGAAGATGACGGGCCATCCACCAGCACGAAGAAAAAAGCACCAGTTCGGAAACGCTGACAAGCAGTGCTTTGAAGGGAGATGGGGCAAGCCGCGAATGCACTTATGACGGGTCGACGAACCGGACGACGCATTGTTCAGGTCATTGTTCAATTATTTATGTATACTAATTAGCCGTTGTATTGGGCTCGAGCCGTGTACCATATGACGCCTGCTTCTGAAATGGCACGGCAGTACTTGAGCAGTAATTTATCACGCTCTTTGGAGTTCACAGCAATGTCGTTGAGGAAGTCCGCTATCTCGTCTCCTTTCCAACGCGAGCGGGTCAGGAAGAGATCTGCGAAGCGCGGGGCTGGGTCGGACGGTAGCGCCGAGGATGGGAAGTAGGCCAACCTCGGCTCATCGCCTGTGATAGGAGATGCATGCTCCAGGTAGTTTCCCTAAAGCAATGGGGAAGAAAAGGAGGTTCAACGTTCCGCCACTCCGGAGCATGAAACAC